TCTTGTTGGAGTTGATATTATGAATTCTGACATCGTTTTTTATAATTATACATATTCATCTTTAGTATAATGTTCTTTTTATCAATAAATTACCGCTGTACAAAACTGATATCAGTAGCTTATCGTGATCAACGTTCGATATCGTTTTGTCTGCACAATAAAACATTTCGGGTAATGTTAACAAATTAGATTTGGGCTTGCACTTTCAAACCACTCTCGATTTATCGTCGACTGTTTTGATGCCTGTCCTGCTCTAATTTACCTATTTTCGATACAGTAGATAGAACTAGATGAAGTTTAGATAGAACTTAAGATAGAACTAGGCAATTGTTTTTTAAACTTTCATGATCCAGTTTTTTTTATGGTTAATTATGGGAATTTTCGGTACTGCTATTGTAAGCGCCATAATCAAAGAATGACTGAATTTTTAAATATAAGGTAATAAATATCGATATTTAGTTTTGAAAGTACGGTCATAATAAAATCCCTAAAAATGAAACCCTAAAACCTATTAAAATAAATTCTGCTAAAAAGTAATTCGCCTCTCAAAGGCTTGGGTCAATACTTCCATTTTATTAAGGAATTTACTAACCATATACAGGTATAATAATATTATTATAGTGCAATGTGTGATCAGTAAATCAATGGTGACAGATATGTTTCTTGCTATGTGATCTAAGTAATGTGTCTAACAGTTTTGTTACTAGAGTGTTATTGACTTGCTATTATTTGCATTAGCAGAATAACGATCTTGATCCCAGACACAAAGCGAAGATTTAGAATAAGTGAATTATTTATACATCTTACATATATTATTTTAGCTGGTATTTGAGTACGATATTGTCATAAAATTTTATTTTTAACAATTTAAATCTAAAGAGAAAAACTGATCGAGTGAAAACTAAAGATCATTGGAAACGGATGAGATTTCATCTACTTCTTGCAAGTTGCTTTATTATTTATAAGTTGTTAAGACGCTATTTGTTCTGGCATTATCTCAATCACTGTCCGGCGGAGTTTGTTAAACATTACATTTATTAAGAGATTCGCCGCTGTCAGTCCAGTTCGGTTTAACAAATGTCTGGGATTAGGGACTTATCTCCAATGCTAAGTTACAGTCCCTTGGCAGGCCCCTGTAAACATTCACCAGTTAACATAAACACGTTTGATAGGTTCGGATTCAGTAACGGAATATTCGAATCTTTAATAAGCAATAAAATGGGAAGATAGGTCCTTGGCACTAACATTGAAAAAAAAAAAAAATTGGCACTAACTATATCGACCGCAAAATAATATTTTATTCAAATATATAAGACCTTTATTATCTTTTAAAGTAGTAAGTATTTTAGTAGTAAGTATTGTATCAGAATAGTATTACAATATTATGGCGTTCTATATTGTGGATGATGTAACAAAGTTAAAAAGTGAGAAGTATTTTTTCTTATAAGTAATCGTGATCTGTATCATGTTATCTTTTGTTAATATTACTTTATAACGTAGCTTTGCTGGAAAAAGATAGCAAATGAATCAGAAAAAATATCGTTTACTTCTTGAATTAGCGTTAATTGATTAAATATTTCAATTGATGTAAAGGGCACCGTACACCAAACAAGTATTTCAACAATTTGCTGAGAAACGAACAATAAAAATCTCCATGAGGCAACGATATCCACTTAAGATGTCATAGACTAACGCACTATAAAAGAGAAGGAAAACGCTCTCACTGGAATCTCAGCACATTAATTTAAAAGCATATAATAACTAAATTCATAATTTAATATAACAAATAAATTTTAATGAATAATAAATGAATAGCTAATCAATATTTATAAATTACTTTGATCATCTTAAATAATTATGCTTAAAAATTCACCAGTACCAGGTGACCAAAATGGAGTACGAACCTAATTTCGCGAACCTGGCGACTGCTCTAAGCAAGCACTAGTTACTTTATTTACTAGAGAGCATATATCCATTAATGTTATAACTTTTGTTAATGCCAAATTGGTCAAATATGATATGATGATAACCCACCCACCCATTCTCCCTAATCGATTTGATCAATTCCAGCCGTAGGGAAGGCCTGAGCCCCGATGCATTAAAAGGCTGGGGGTGATGATGATTGTAATTAACTTAATGTAAAAAAAAACTGTTTTTATTTTTATTATTATATATTAAGAGACATTCTTTCAATCCAACGCTTATACTCCATTAATTTTGATGTTTAATGATACATTTATGGATGAATGATATCAAATATATATTGTGAATGGAATCCTTGTCTTTCTCATGTATATAAATGTTCACAGACTAAATTCTGTTGGTAATTTTCATACTTACATCTATTAGTCCGAGTGTAGTTATGTAGTGAGATTGTATCGAGTCCCTCTCATGATTATGTATATCCACAGTCAACATTCAGCCTATCAAACTACCGACGACGGCAGATGTAAATAAGGACTTCTCTGGATTGAAAGGAACAATTACAGGATACGGAAAGACGAGTGATGGTAAGTGACTAATACTATAGGCAGAGTGGGGATTTTGTTAGCATATATGGCACCTAGAACTGTTGTTAAGTCTACAAAGAAATTAAGACAGTTTAATGTTTGTGAAAATACTTTAACAGAATTCAAAGTCACATTACGGAAAAAAAATGTAGATATTATGAAACAAAAGTTACTTCATTTAATTTATCATACTTTATAACGATTACTTTATACATTGGGCAAAATGCAATAACTAGCTTAGAGTATTCTAACCGCCAATAAATCCTCAGCTAATAAAAACATATTCTCAAGAGGAATTGCCTTAATTTCGTTTTAAATTTATTAGGATTATAGTAAGCTTGCAACTCCGTCGACAGGGCGTTAAAATGTTGAACTGCTCGATATCGACGACAATATTTAATTTCAAATGAAACTACGTATGTACCTATGTATTTTTTTCTACTACTTCATAAAAGAAGAAATAGAAATGTCCATGAAGATAGCCAAGAATTAAGAGAGATGTGTCATCTTTCTTTTATACAATCTATTTGTAACCATAATCTTGCAAACAAACTTTTAAATTGTCAAGTTTTATATCGCCACTTTCAAATCTATCCAAGAAAAGCTCTAGTTGACTATGTTTTGTTAACATAAGTGCTTAATACGTGGCTCCTAATTATTTTGTCGTCTGTCCACGGCCGACTTTTGGGACACCCACGGACTTAACAACTTTGGGTATTATTAAATAGAGAGCACTTGTTCCCACAGACACGGATTCAGTGAGAAAAATACTGTTGCCATGTGATTTTTCCTCTTATATGTTGAACGATTGCATCTAGTACTAACGTAGTAGTTCCTAAGACAGTAGTTGGTGTTGTACAATGCTATATGTATAAGTCGCTAGACTATAGGTTTACTGAGTTGAGGTTGTGTCTAAGACGTAAGACTCAACTACAATAGTACATTTCAGCTGCAGTGTTGCATTTACCTGAGCAGAAAGAACTTAGGAATATAATTTGAAAGTACTGTAGTTTGATTTAAGCAAATAGTGGGTAATCTTTGGCTCAACTAAATTGTGGGTAGATTAATTAGATCATTGTCTTTTAAAATTACCTTTGTATATAACTAATTTCGTCTCTCTGTAGTCAGCTCCTCATGATTGCAACAACTGTCCATCTGCCTAGATGGTCACATGTAAGTTACTTTATTACAATTATCTTTTAATACCCAAAAATATTACTTGATTTTATTATTAGTGTTACTATTTTAGTAACATTTTAGTTGGGTTTGTCCTTTATGTATCCCTAAATCCGACTCTGGCTCTGCTTGAATCAGATCCCAAATAAGGCAAATAGCTGGAACCCTCGGTCCTTCCAGATTTGTATTGGCGGACGTCTGTCCGTGGCGAGAACAAAAGAAAATGATTGTATAATTAATAAAATTTGTATAATAATATAAGCTCAGTCGTTGAGTTTAAATTGGAATAAGTGTTTGACCCGGTACTACATTGTTTAGATAAAGTAACCTTTAATAAATTGTATGAGAGTTATATACTTTCTTGGGTTTTTAATATTTGGGTTGTCGTATCATTTCCATTTATTTAGGGTTGTAGATCAACCCTAAATGAAGCTCGGATGACCTGTGCGGGCTCATCTCATTTTAAGAGATTGAAGCGTTGATTTGAAGATGGGGGGGGGGGAGTAGCACCGCCCAGTCAGAGTAGCCTAGGTTAGGCGGGCACTGTTGGAAGAACCCCGATTTCGGGGTTATTTAGCACAAATTTTAAAATATTTGAAAATGATTTAAAAATGAAGTACTGCTGCGCGAGAGGTCGTTTATATACTATTTCACCAATATGAGCCGCGCTTCGCTCCCATGTCTGCTTACCTCTATAGTATATTTTTTACCAATGTACCTACAATTATTTTTATTGTTTTGTTTTTTCTTCAAATGAATTTGTATCAAAACGTAAAAATAAATGAAAACATACAAAAGACAAACAGTTTATTTAGAAAACTGTTACAAGATCTATAGAAACAGCTCGCAATCTGTATGCAAACGTTATCCACTAATGTAACTGAGACATAAGATGGCGCTTGTATGCAGTTATTTACGTAGTATAATCAGCGATCTTCTTCTTCTTCTTTATGTGTTCTCTTGTGGTCAGTTCTTCAAATATGTTGTCTCCAGAAAGGTCTATTCTGGGCCGCCACTATCACTGTTGTTAAGCAATTTCGCAAGGGTCAGTCACGGATTATTATCTTGAGATTCACCGTGCTTTGGAAGGCACGTTAAGCCTGGTACCTACTACATTTGCATTCGTTAATACCCTCAAATCTACATTAGGCTAGCGTGGAAGGTTATAGCCGATCTTCCTTAACCATCCATAAGGAAAGCCTGTACCCCTGCAAAGAGGACATAAAAGGGCTGATGATGAATATAAATTAAATAATTACAGCTCAAAACAGTTTCCCGCCTTCGACGTCGCTCCACTACACAACCGTCACGATTATGTCCAATCGTGATTGTCAGCAGAGCTTCGATTTCACAATTCATAGCAGTCACTTGTGCACCGCGGGACTGGGAGGAGTGGGCACCTGCGATGGAGACTCTGGTGGACCAATTACCGTAGACCAGAATAATGTAAAGATACAGGTGAGATGGAAAATATATCCTTTTTGTCATTAAGCACAAGACAGACAAACCACGTCTCGTTGCTCGTTTGCTAGATGAGAGTTTAAAATATTATATATTTTTGACAAATTCGTTTGTCTGACGTCCACATTTTGAATTATGCGTATTTTTTAGGTCGGTATTGTCTCGTTTGGTCTCTCCGATGGTTGTCAGCGTGGTATACCTTCGGTGTACACGCGACTGACTTCGTTCCTCAGCTGGATCAACGCAAATCTATGAAGCAATTGCAAGGTGACAAGAAGAACAAAAATAAAAAGGTTTTTGGAATTAATACATTTCTTTTTTATTTCTAATGTACGATATTATTATCATAATATACTGTTAAAATAAATAAAAATAAAAAATAGAAAAAGATTGGCTCTTCATTACTGAAAATCCTAGAAGAGTACGATTTTTAAAGTCTATATTATTCTAAGTCCAGAATTGTGATTTGAGAGAAAACTGACCTATGACGTCACTTACTCTTTTTATCTCTCACCCAATTTCAAAAAGGTGAAGTAAGGTTAAATGATTACTTTAAGTTCAAATTTACATTCTAAATTGAAGAATTTGTTTGGGTAATGTCACTTTAAACTAATTTTAATTTTTATAGGCATTCTAAAGATGTCCTAAATTTTTCAAGTGTAGCCTTTTCGTTTAAAAAAAAAGCACATTAAAGGTTTCTCGTATGTGACCTGTTGTTCTTGTCCCATCCTGACTTCTTCTTCTGGTATTATATTAATTTCACCATCACGTTCATTAACTTCATATATAATTATTGAATTTTCATTACTTGATGAAATATTAGATTGAAATCCTTCGAGGTTATAGAATTTTAGCTGTGCTGCTTCTTTTTGCAACTATTATTTGAGTAAATGCTAATATTCCCACGCGCATATTCGTTGTTATTTAATAGCTCGATGGCACGCTTGGTCTGCAATGCGGTTAAGTAACTTATGAAAGGGTCGGTCATAGGATGGGTGACCGAAAATTTGTTATGTCCTCTTTTGCGCTTCGGAAGGCATTCTAAGCTGTTGGATCCAGCTGCATCTGTAGTCGTTAATACTAAGTCGCACTGGGACGGCGTGGTGGGTAATACTAATGGTACATTGTGCGTATACAATTTTATTCGATTCCATCTTCCTGTTGTATGCGGGCCGCCTACCATAGCAGACAGCCCGTGTCTGTACACGCTCCGTCACTTAGGATCTATAGAGCGTAAACGTTCTAAATTTTTTATGCCAATGAAGAAATAACATTTTTTTTTGTTTTATGTCCTTCACGGTGTGAGGTTAGAAAGAAAGAAAGAAATGTTGCTAAGCAAAGGAAAATTAATATGATATGATGATGATGACATTCGACGTGCTAACGACCCCCAGGGGTTCAAGAACCACAGGTTGGAATACGCTGCTCAATATCATACGTATTATAATAATAGTACTTCTTGTAATTTTATTACAATTGAGTCTTATTCGTTTCCTGTTTCATCCAATAAGGTGAACTCTCTAATTGGCTAATAAATCATAATTTAATTACGCTGTAGACCAAAGAGTTAAGCCACCTCGTACAGACTAATAACTTTATTTCACCTATTTAATCAGTGGGTCTGTGGTAAAGGCTTATAAATTTTGTTGTGTTTATTTATTTGGTACTAGCTATTTTCACCTGTGCAAGATGTAGCTACAAGTGAAGGAGTTTTAAAAGCGTTCCAGGAGTTTCGGAGCTTAAACAAAGCAAACAACAATCAAATCTTTCCTGTTTATAATATTAGAAATCTGCAGAAATTGTTAAAAGTTCGTTTATTTTATTAATGTTTTAGTGGTTAAAAAGCTATTTTATTAAGCAGGTATATACAATATCTGATAATTTATTGAAAAGAATGAATGAAAAATATCAAGAGTTGATATCTAACGCAAGAAGGCGTTAGAGACACTTCTCCTTTGTGAATTGCTCTATATTTCAGTTAACGCGTAAACTCAAAAGTAGGATAGTATAATATAATGAAAAGAGAAAAAAATAAAATATATATTGATTGTTTATATTTTCACGCGCACTATCCATAAATGGAACAACTTTTAAACGGTTTTATCACGTTTGTATTTAGTTTTATTATGTGAACACGGAACCTGTAAAGTGTTCGAAATGTCAATAAAACTAAATTTAAAATAAATTATATTAAGCCTAGCTGTATAAAAGAAATCCCTTTGTCTTTTACTTAACAAAAAAGTTTCATTTGTTTTTTATTTTATAAATTTCATTATATATAATATAATAATTTAATTTAATCACTTCTGTGAAATATATCGAGAAAGATGACAAAGATCTCTAAAACTTTAGATATATAAACAATAAAATGTTTCATAGATAAATTTATATTGTAGGTATTATGAATTACTAGCAAACTAATAAGTCTTCATCTTAGTCTCTTATTTTAGCATGTTATAATTATAAGAACAAAAGATATTCTTTCTACGAAGCGAATGAGACGTCTCTAGGGAGTTGAACAACGTACAATGATTAATTACTAGGCGGCGTCGGACGTGAAATTGACGCGACATTTCAATTTAAATGCTGTCAATATTATCTACCCATCTCTTTCCTTCAAATTTAATATTCCCTCTGAAGACCAATTAAAACTTAATTTAATAAATCAACGTTAGGGCTCCGTATCGTATAAGAAAAAACGGAATTTTACAGAATAGTCATCAGACGAAGATTTGCCGGTGAACCATTTTTGTAGTTATTTTCGGTCGATTTTAGTTAAAAAACATGTTAGTAATTTCAAGTTGTGAACTTACTAGTTGTCAGGCTTACAAAGAAACTACTATCCTACTACTTCACATAAATGTTGATTTTACGAAATTTCATAATCGCAGGAGCACAAAATTATCGGTAAAAAGTTTAATAATTTTTTTTTATGAAAAAGAGCCATTTGTGTCCTGCACCTATGTAAATATTACATTACTAAGTTACCCCTGTTAAAGGAACAAGAGGATTCCAATGATTAATTGATGAAGAGACGCTATGATATTAAGGGGACACTTGATTAAATTCCTTACACAGCTGGGTTCGCCAGGATTCATTGTTTTAGGCATGTGCCTTTAGGAGCTGCAACTTAAGCCTTTACAATTATGTATGTTAAAAAAGATTAATGTATATTAAATTTAAGAAGTGTTTACACTTAAGTTTTAAGTAATCTATTTGCACATTTTTGCAAACTATACTTATTTTATGATTACTCTAAAATATGGAATAAATTATAAGCTAAAAGTAACTTAATTTCCTTTATCCATATTTATTATTTTAAGATGTTATTTATTCAAAATATACATAGTTTTAATTGCATCTAAAAAGTGTCTTTGGTTTTATTGTGCTTTTGGAGCTATATAATTTTTAAATTTTTGTTTGATTTATTCTATTTGTTACCGATTGCCTAAAATAAGTCTATATAAAAAATGTCCGTAAGATACTTAATGGGATCATCAATTGGTGTTGAAGCTGAAAAAAAGGTAAAACGTTGAGCTTCAGCATAATTTAAACTCGGCCGTATCTGTAACAACACCATCTAAAACAAGTTGGTCTTGGAAACTTAGTGAAATTCCTTGGATATCCGCGTCACGTCTCAATTTTGTGGTGAAATACCTGAATCTGGGGAATGTTAACATGAATCACGTCACAAATACCCTGTGTTGTGTTTTAATTCATACCACGAAGGGTTAGTGGGAATTAAATAATATATCTAGAATAATATTTGCATATACATAAGACAATATAGTGTAAAAGAAACTAAAAAAAGGAACCTACTTCAAACTTTAATAAAGTGAGAAATAATACTTATCTCAAAAGTGACAGTCAAAAACATGCTATTGAAATCGGGCGGAGGTTTTCTGTAGTTGATTTATTAAACGATTTAAATAAGTCGCTTTTGGGACTAGTATTGTTTATCGCTTTTTATAAAGTATGAAGTCAGTTTTTTTTCACGCTTTTTAGTGATATTGTCATTTTTCATATAATAGGTAATACTAAAAATAATAAATACTAGCTTTCCGCCAGCTTTGCCCACGTGATCCCTAGGAAACTGTTTATCTGGATATAAATACCAAATTCAATACTAAACAATCGTACCTGTGGTAACGTTGTCATTCCCTATACAAACTTTCACTCCATTTTCATCCCTTTATTTCCCGTAGGATTCGGAGCTTATTCGTTGCAAACAAACAAAAAATACTTTAAAAATAAATATACTCCACAAGTGAAAGTCTTGGAAAAGATTTTGTGTATTTACTCGACATATTTTTTTCCAATAATTCTATACTCATATTATAAACAGGAAAGATTTAATTGCTTATTTGTTTACATTTGATAGGCTCCGAAACTATTGGATCTATTTATAAAAGTCTTTCATCTACGGGTAACACCTTGAGGCTCGGCTAAGTTATACAAGTATAAAAGTTCATTGGGTATATTTTTTATTTATTTAAGAAAACCAACAGCTGAAACATGGTTGAGATAATTAGACAGATGTAACTTAAATTAAGCCAATAACAGGTTTCCATAGATATTAACAATATCATCAAAAAGTTTTTCAGTAATTAATCAACTATATATATTAAAAAGAATGGTCATATTTACTGTACTTTATATAAATTTCAAGTATTTTAGAATAAGAAATTAACATGTATCAGAAAACGAACTCCTCAATATGCAAATACAAGCAATTATGTATACAGAAATATTTGTATTTCCTAAATATATTTCCTCTTGTGTGGCTTTTTACATCTTCCATAATCCTTCTTATAGAGAATATTTTAATTACAAACGAATATGACTGGTTTCTAAAAAATCAAAAAAGAGCGATAGAGATGTAATTTTCGGAAGCACTTTAGAATCGGCGACTATGCAAACGTGCGCACAAAGGGTGGTGGGGGAGTGGAGAGTGAGAACACACTCTCTCCACAACAGCCAAAGCGCGGTGAATTAAGTAAAGAAGAAAAATGAAAATTACATTTATAACATTTGTATTACTATATCTTCAAGATAATTAAAATTTAAACCTTACTATATGGATATTAAAATTTTATTTTCTTGTGAAAATATTTCAAAACATAAGTTTATAATAGGAAGACCAAAAAATCTTTTACTTATATATATTTAAAAAAAACCTCGAATTTCAAGACAATCGCTACCTACAGGGCCAAAACAAATGCGTTTATTTGTTTTTTTTTATTTGATAAAAAATA